CATACCGAGACATCATCCGTCACATTCCTCGTCGGCATTCGTCTGCACCAGTAAAGCGACGCATCGTGATGCTGATGGCACTACCTCCGACATGACAGTAGTAGAGCTTCTCGGCATGCTCGCCAACAGTATCGTCTCGGAACTGATCGCAACCGGGACATCACCGCAGCTCCATTCAATCGCAAACAAAAAGTAAATTTCATTGACAAAGCTGTGAGTAGAATGTCTCTCAAATTGTATGCGTTCGTAGATGGGCTGTGGGCATTGGCGTACGCCGCTACACGCTCGATGGAATTCGAGGAAAGCAGCCTTCGCTACCTTGCTTTTGTTTGTACCACTTTCATCCTGTGCGTGGTGGAAGCATATGACCGCCTTCCGGCGAGGAAGACGGAGAGCGCGACTGCTTCTTGTAAAAGGCTCGCTTCGGGCGTCTTCGAAGAGCAGCCGAGGATGTTGGAGAACGAGGGGGAGAACGTCCATCATACCTATATACTGGCAGTAGATGCTCGGACTCGTGCTCAAGCCGTGTTGGGGAAAGCGTTTCAACACGCGCTTGCCATTCTCGCAACCCTGCTCCAGCCAGACGATCGTGTTCTTCCCTCGGGAGCTTCGCCAACTCTGGCCCAAATGGGAACACCTCATGATTCCCCGCTACCTGTTGATAATGATTCGCGAGCTTCTCTCGCTCCTCTTGAGACGTGTGGATTTTGAGAAAGCCATCGGTGAGGAATCGTGAAGCGTTGATGTCACTTAAACGATCGTTGTTCTGAGTCAGATGCGCTCGAACCGCTGGCGGCACGTTGACGGAGCCGCTGGCACTGTCTAAAAGGAGATGGATTCTACGCTGTTTCTCTGCGATCTCTGCGGGTCCGTCCGGACGCGCGAGAACCCGCCATTGTTCGGGATTGTTCAAGCCATGGAAATTTCGAGCGCGATATCTCTCTCGATCCTGGTCGCGGAGAATTTATCAGTCTCGTGACACTTCTGGTGGGCAGGTGGCACCGTACTCACGAGGACATCCGCTCTAAGTCGCGGATCCATTCCATGTGTAGGATCTCTCAGGAACGCGCTCACGGCGGGGTCACCGAGCTCATGCTCGACTGTTTCACCAAGCGGACGAGCCGCCGAGCTTGAGCTGGCCGCAAATCGCCCGAGAAACGCGGACGCTTGCTGAGCTGAAAGGAAGATAGGCCCTGTGAAGATTAGAGCGCATCTTAGGCGCATGTTGTGCGTGAGAGGCGAGTGGAGATTGGGAACTTCGCATTCGAAACGACCTCAAAGGTCGATCGAATAGCTTAGCGAAGCTTGAAAGAGGAGTGAGGTATTAAAAGTTGAAACAGGAGCTTCAGCTCAGTGACATCGGTTGATGACGGAGTGAATACTGGTAAGTCGTGTTCAGGGACTTGACTGCGACCGGCGCAACCACGGCTGGGACGGAATTGTAGAATGCAAATGAGCCGCGTTTTTGTAGTCCAGAAGCGAGATGAACATCTTTGAGAGGGGCAGCAAGCAGCAGCGGCAAATCAAGGTCGTGCTATGGAGATCATATTGCCGTTTCATCCTTCGACTTGCGAGCGGTGGCGATCTGGGTCGTTAGTGGCGTTGGCTGAATATTCGCCAAGCTCCTACAAGGGAAAGCGAAGTACTCTTGGTAGCCTCCGTCTCGCTCTAGATATCAGGTGGCGGGGTCCGACAGCAAGATCTCTCGTTCCGGCTGAGCACAGCGATTTGCATGGGGTTTGCGGTGTTTTCGGCAGGACGTTTGCGGCCCGTCTAGAATGCGCCTTCGGCTGACGCCGCTTTGCCGGTAGCGTTTCAATCAAGCGACGTTCCCCTTGAGCTCAGCATTCTTTCGACGAGCCAGTATTATCAGACAATCGATTCGAGGTGCAGAAAGGTTGTATCAAGGTCGTTGAATGGACGCGTTGAGGATTGAGGGGTGGGCTCTGCACCAAAATTTACTAACAGCGGAAAGCTTAAGGGGTGGCGAACAGACGAGACATGCCTGATAGCAGAGCGGGGGTACGACTTGTAACTACTGTTGGCAACAGTGGCAAAGCAGGAGCTCAACACTTGACGGCCCCTGTGACGATTGCCTTCCGTCCGGTCGTCCGCTTATCCAGTGCGCGGATGGGGCAGCCACGCAGTGTCGGGAGGAGAGCCTGAACGAGAACGTGAGCGTGTTGAGCTTGACGGCAGTAGAGGTTCCTCTCCTGACACACGACCAGCATGACCGGTAGGCGAAAAACGAGTTGGACTTCGTGATCGACTTCGATCACGCTGACGTCGGCCTTGAGCCGCTGCATGCTCTGCGTGACCAAGATCTTCCAGGCGCTGCTGCTCTTCGCGCGGCAGCCTAACAAGATCCCGCGCGAACGGATAGACGCTGTGAATTTGATTGAGGCGGTCGTAGTGATCTGCGAGAGCCTCCCGGTCACCACGACTCATGTGATTTTGCAGCTCGCCGCCATACTGGAGATGCATTGCGTCAATGTCGTCCAGTTGTCTTTCCGCTGTCAAATGCGCTCTGGCGGCTTCAGGCACATTGACGGGCGCGCTATCCAGCAACAGATGGACCCTACGCTGCTTCTCTGCAATCTCAGCGGGAGTGTCGGGCCGATAATGGAATGCATTCCATTCTTCACCGTTCCACTTCATATAATTCTGAGCACGATGTCTCTGCTGGGCCTTTCAGGTGATAGTGATGTCGTCAGCTATCGTGGACGCTCGCTCGAGTCCGCGGTGTGACTCACAAGAAGCCGACGCCTAAGACCTGGATCCATTCCATTGAGGGGATTTCTCATGAAGGCATCCGCAGCATCCTGGTCTATGTGACGGCTTCTCGCATCCTGGAGCCAGCGAGCAGCAGAGTAGGAGTTTGCGCCATTTCTGCCAAACAGTGCGCAAGCTGGCGCAGCGAAGGCCAAAAAGAGTAGAAGGTTCAGCGCCGTGCTCTGAGGTATTGACAGCATCACAAGAAGGGAGAAAGGAGAGTATCGAATCTATCTCCAGGGGAGCCGCTGGTATGGACTTGTCGGCAAGGCGCGTTCACAACAGAGAAATGACGCTTTGGTCAATTTGAAGGGGAGTGCTCTAGAATCGAACGTCGCCAGATGTAGGTGAGGCGAACAGGGATAAAGCAACCTGATGGCCAACTTGCGTCTGTGCTAGAGCTGTAGCTCTAGCTTGTGATGGCATCTGATCAGAAACGAGCGAGGCGCACCCCTCCCTCAAGTAATCCCGGCTCTCCTTGGCTGCTGTTCAGTGTGGCGAGGATCAGTTTGCGTCTCCCTCTACCAAGTGCCGTGCGGGTATGGACGAGAACTTGCCGTCAATCTGACGTGCGGGATGATACTGATGAGGGTGCTACCCTCGCCTCGACTTTCGGTGGCTATACCAAGGCTTGTAAACACCGAACAGCATGGGCCTAGAGGTAGTCTGGCGCCCAGACGCTTTCGCTGCGTATTGTCGCGCACGCGCCCACATGCATAAACATGTACAGCACACTTGGTCAAACCTGAAATGCAACTGCCATCATCCCTGTAGAACACCAGCGCGACAGTATTCGGTGGCAAAAGTCGACCGGCGCGTCTGTGTCTGGCAGACCGACTGCAGCCAAGGTGACGTGACCTCGCAAGGTCGGTGTGATCGGACAGAGAATTCCCTGATGAGGTCGACTGGCAGTCACTAATTAGCCGGAAACAAATGTCGGCTTTGCGAATTCTTTCAGATTGCCAACACGCACACCGTCGAAGCGCACTCAGAACCGCTCCCAAGGCCGCAGTCCAGTAGGTTGAAAGTATGTATAGGTGGCGTAAGAGTCGCCACTGACCGCTTGCGGCCAACTGATGTTGCATTTCTGCATGAGATAATATTATGGTCGGCGCAGCCAGAACAATTGATCAACTATTTTCTTCACACGTGGGACAGAATGCCGTCCGGGCTAGTGCTCTGATAGCGGATGGGGCAATGTTTGGCGCTCTCAAGTGTAATTTGATCGGGAAGCGTGTCTTGTCGAGGAGTGATGCGCTACGTTGCACGAAGCCGCGATGTGGGATTTTTCAAGGGAAAGATTCGAACAGGCGATCTTTGCTTAGTGACGTGCTCAGAGCTCACGCCTAGCATAGCAGGCGTGACCCTTCTCAAGCCAAAGTCCCTGTGCAAGATGTTGTAAAGGCGATCGCCCTGACGCCTATCGCGAACAGACCTTGCACTCTGATCTTTGTCGATAGCTCGATACGGCTGTAGGGGGGTAGTGGTCGAAGGTCGTGTGGGGCTCGAGCTTCGGCTGGGCACGAAGCGAAACTGCTCACTTTCGCGAAGGGGGGTCTGAGGCTCATCATTCTCTACCGCATCCTTGTTTACGCGTTGCTTCTTTTGACTGGGGCCTCGGAGAGCAGCTTCGGCCTTTTTGAAAGCACGAGCTTTACTTTCGTCGTACTTTTGACTCAAGACTTTTTCCTCCTCATCTGGAAGCTTGAGCAACTGCCAGTGATGGGGATACACTTGATGCTGGCGAGCCTGAGCTTTGATGTGCTCCATGAGCTGATACCTTTCGTGCAGCGGAAGCGCCTTGACAAATGGCCGCTCGAAAGTAGACTCTTCTATGTGGCCTTGGTTGTGATCGACAAACGTTTGTCTGACTTGAGGTGAGACCTTGACAGGCGCATGGTCTAGCATCGCGTGTACCCGTCGTGCTTTTTCAGCTCTGATCGCTGGGGTGTCAAGCCTCGCCATTGACGCTTCGTGCTCGCTTGCGCTGAGAAAATTCGCCTTCATGTAGCGATACTCGCGCTGCAAACCTCAAGCCAGAGTTGGCGCCGGGTCAGAACAGTCTTTCTCGCTACTTCGCTGTTCGACGGCCTCCAAACTCACCAGGACCTTGCTTTTCAGAGCTTCATCCATTCCGATCACAGGGTCGATCGTTCTAGGCATGATCCACTCGATTCTATCAGGTGCTGCCCTCGTCAGAAGTGGAAGGGAAGCTTGCGATGCAGATCGCGCTGTGTCTGCTAGAGCGTGAGCCCACGGCCCACATAAAATTGGTCCCAGCAGCAAAGCCCATATCGTCTGGAGTGGATTTTGTGGCATGCTGATTCGTCGCCGATGCTAGCTTTGAAAAGCCAAGAGAGAGTTCTGAGTGTTGTACGCGTCGAGACTGCAGGTCGACAGAGTTCAGGAGACCGAAAGCAAGAACATGATGGATGGAGCCACTTCTGATGGACACGCGCAGTCTGGCAATCTTCTGCTTTTTGTGGTGCAAGCCAAATCAATTGGCATCATGTGGCGGTCACCGCTTACGACAGCAAAAAAGGAATGGAGGCCGCTGCTAGACTGGGACTCCGTCTGCGAGCGGAGGTGGCGTTGTGCGCGAGTGCAGCCAGATGCGGAGGCGCAGCTTTAGGTGTCTCATGTCGGGTTGGCTGCAGTGCGAGCCTCAGAAAAGCATTGTGCGCAGCCAAGTCGAAGACTGTCGAGCGCACTACGCGCAGCATTTGTGGACTTCCGTGGAGACGAAAGTACTGGAGAAATCAGGCGCGAAACGCTTTGAAGATGCTGCAGGGTCTGTGAGACTAGCTAGCATTGCGCCGGCACATCATTTCATTCTTGACCTTCCCATCTGGGATCGTCCAGGCTTGCGATGCGCTGCGCGGGCTCCAAGACGTGCTGCATCAGAAAGACTCCATTGGGCAAGTCGTTGTTACGGGCTGCGGCGCAATGCAGAGAAGGCCAACGTAGTCCAGTGCAATGGGGGGCAAATTGTCAGATGAGACAGCGGAAAGAAGGCGGACATCTGGCCACGCACCTCTCCAAAGAGCTTCGTCCCTATCTTTTGCCACACCAGTGGCAACATGTCGCGCGACCAACCTTTTTTCCGCTTCCGCTTCGTCGATGTCTACCACCCACCTCAGGTCTAGTGCTTTCGCGCCACGATCCCACGGCGGCTCCGAAAGGTTGCAGTACAAACCTTCAAGGAGCACCAATTTCACCCTGAGTGGCACCTCCAGAGATTGCGGGACTGGATCGGCAGTGGAATGACTGAATGTGGGTGCATACAGGGAGGATTTTGCGGAGCGCAACGCCACTACAAAGTCGGCAAAGGCCTGCGTAGGAATTGTGAGGGCGATGCGAGAGCTAAGCACACCGTTTGCAGCGTGACGGTCGCGAGTGATGACCCACCTCGCCATCGAATGTCCACTCCGCGCCACGCCGAGCGTAGGCCTCTTTCGGCTTAGGCATTGCGTCCAAGGCGGATTTTGGCAAGTGCCAGCCGTCCATGGGTACGACCATGGCCGGGATTGGCATCAATCGGCTGATCTCGGCAACCACAGCTCGCGCAAGAGAGGACTTCCCTGATCCAGGAATGCCAGAAAGTCCTATGAGAACGCGTTTCCTGATAATATTGGTAATCACGAGCGAGCAGAAGACATCAGCGAGATACGATCAGCGCCACAGCTTTGAAGCATCACGCTTACCCATTTGACTCGTCCAGCGCTCTGAGAGCCTCCTTTACCAAGCCGTCCACCTGCGCGTCCATTTCAATGCCCGCTTTGACGTATTATTAGCGCTCGAAAGGGGTGGCTCAGAGCGCGAGCAGATGGATGTCAGCTTAAACATTCACCAGATTCCCTCGCGCCGAGCGTTGGTGCGGATGGAGGGAATAATGTGGAGGTGCGCACATGTATACCGGTACAGTATCCTCGAAAAGTTGCAGCTTAGCTGACACGAAAAGATCTGGCCGCACGCGCGCAAGACGCGTCAACCAATTCCGGTCCCATCCCGTCTGGTAGGCCAGGCGCAGTCATGACATAGCGGCACCAGAAGAGTGTGAGGGTCGGCGACGACTAATTTGCATGCTGCAGCCGCGTCGCCGTGCGGGGCGGCAGTGTACAGCCGCGCGTCAAAAAAAGGTTAACACCTCATGCACAGATGAGAGCACCTTTACATCCCTCATTCTTGAAACACCTATAAGTCCGTCAATATTGGAGCAATCTACCTCAGACTTTCAGACCATACAGTTCAAACATTAAAGAACACCAAAATGTGTTTTGTGTGCCAGATTTCAGTAGTGTGTAGCAAAGCCTCTAGTTCTTTTGACAGCTTTCAATCTACCCTCCATACTATCAATGCATCTGTCTACCAAAGACTGTGGCATCTTTGCCCAGAGTTCTTGTGCCTTCTCAAACAGTTCATCCTCATTCTTGGGGCTCCTCTCTGAGTTCTTGAGCTGATTTTTGAGCCATGCCCAGCAGTTCTCAATGGGATTGAGGTCTGGAGAGTTGGGAGGGTGGGGAAGAGGGGTGTATCCCAGTTGTCTGGCCATTTCCTTTGTCAGTTTTGCTGTGTGAACAGGAGCATTGTCCTCCACCAATGTGGGATGACCTCCTATCATCCCAAGACCTGTGAAGTAGTCCCTGAGCTTGCCTTGAGTGATCTGCTCTCTGTAAATGGTGGCATTCACACCACCCTTCTTTAAGGTACTTTTGCTGGTGTCAAACCTGTACAGTGGATGCTGCCCATGCTTGCTGATGCCAGCCCAGACCATGACAGAGAGCCTTTTGCTGGTGACTTTAGGTTTGACATTCCTTTCCAGCCATGCTTCATTAGGTTTGCGCCAGACTCTTGTAGTAAGACCCGAGGAGGATACTCGACTACAAGGGTTGGGGTTTGTTGGCTACGCCGGTGTGCACGCGCAGACATAGATACGCCCCTCTGTACCGTACCTCCTTCTGCTTGAATACCATCACCTTCCCCCGACCTTGACTGTGCCTTCGACAAAGTGGCGTCCCCAGCCTGATACCAGCCTTGTCGAGCCTTTTGAAATAAGTGGGGGAAGAATCTCATCCATTCTTTGTCCCCATTGAGCCCGCTTAGAGCGGTTTGCGCCGTCGCATACGCGACCAGTCCCATCCGTTTCTTGGATTGTGCCGTTGCATCCGCAACCTAGATCCTCACCACACATCTGGCCACAATACTGACACCGCGTCACACTCGTTCTACTCCTGGCCAGCACATCACAATCTGTATGCCATCTTTGTCCACACAGACGCCTCTGTTTCCATACGTAGACGACCCAGAGTCACTACTTCGATCATCCAAATCCATCCAGCAGACCAGCCAGGCCCTGGCAGCAAAACCTCCAACTAGCACCATGTCTGCACCATCCATGCCTCCCAAGGTCCTAGACCTGACGG